AGACTCCCATCTAGTCAACACAAAAGACAAAACGAATTTGTTAGATGAGAGTGGAGTATACAGGTTGCAATGCAGCGATTGCGATGCCAGTTATATCGGCAGAACTTGTAGATCTCTGGGAGTCCGGATAGGCGAGCACATCAAGAAGCCGGACACATCTGCATTCGGACATCACTTAAGGTTCAATCAACATAATTTCAGCCCAACAAAAAACTCCAAATTATTAGTTAACTTAAACACAAAAAATTTCAATTTATTAGATTTTCATGAAGATGTTGAAATTACTCTCGAAAGAGACAACAATATACTCTGTCTCAACACTCAAGTGAACCTTAACAGAAATTTCATACCACTCCATAGACAACTCAATTAACCCTCTATGATGATGTAGGTCCGAGTCACCCAACACAAGCCTTCGAGAGCCATCCCCTCCTAAACTCGATTTCACCCATCAGAGCCTACCTTTGGGACCATGGTACTCCTTTGTTTAAAACTTTTTTGTTCTCTATTTTGTCTTTTTTAACCATGAGTACGCTTGTTGAGTGATTTAGTAATTTTTAGGACTAAACATCAGATTCACCTTTAGGGACCGCGGGTTCAGTTGTGCCATCTTGGGTTCTCTGAAAGAATGTTCTGCAGAGCCCGGGCTGGCACATCAGAATCACGCGAGTGACATTTTTGTTTTGTCTTGACATCAAAATAATAATATCATTTATATTAAACATTTATTTAAATTTAACTAACAATAAATTAAATCTTTAAATTCAATAACAAATTTTGATCTCCGTTAACCTCCAATCACTCGAATCACACTCGGAGAAACATGTTCCACACTGAGGTGAACGCACCTCCTTCTGTTGACATTTGACAAGTCAAAGTCTTCAAGTGTCGCTTGTCACCACTGTCATGTGGAAACGGTTAAACAACTTGAACCAAAATGAAGAGATAAATTTAAATTTGAAAATATTAATATTAATAAAATTATGATTTAGCAAGTTGTAAATATCCCGAAATATATAATTTTGGGAGTGAGGATGACCAGGAACTTGTTGGATACGTTGTGGACAGTAGGTAGACTTTTTCATAATTATAATGTATATAAAACATATAAAAAAAAACCTTCAGTTTTTTTACTTTGGCCTTCTGCGTTTTACTTTCTTCATATCAAATATTGCATTCTAGATTCAAATTTCAATATTTCTTCCACAGTCACCCTCTAATTGTAAATTTCTTTAAATTTTAACTAATTTGTTAACCTTTTTTCAATTTTGTGAATAGTGAGGGTGGCATGATTCCTTAATTCTACACAAGATAACTTGCTTCTGGAGATCAGATTTGATTTGTAAGGGCTTATCCCACACTCACTATTCCCAATACCAGTTTTTTGTCACTTTGTTTGTTTCTTGTAATTTTTAATTTGTTCAAACAATTGTATATATACTATTTTAACTTTTGACTTAAAAGTCTAATTCAGATTTTATCATATATTTTTTAAAATCTTTTTAAATTGTAAGTTTACATCCACAATTTTTGTAGATGAGCACTGATGATGGCAAATAAGCCGAAAGCGCTTTGCATTGATTAATAAAAAAGTTTTGCAAAAAAGTTTTGCACGAAATACAAGTTTTTCCTTTTAAAATTAGTGGCAAATAATTCATGTAAAAAAAAGTTAGTTTCCGAGGTTTACAAATTGCCTATCTTAGCTAAATAATCGGTAAATAATACTTTATTTTCAAAGGAATCGCTAACTCAAATTTTTAGGTAAGTAACAATTTTTTATATTTAAAAAAGTCTCTAAATAGAAATTTTCACGTTTGTAAGATCTAAGGAATAGGAGATAATGGGTTTGGTCATTTTAAAAAAAATCCTCCCAAATTTCTTGCTTAAATTGATGATCAAGAAATGGTAAAACATTTAAAAATTATTGGTGATTAAGTACCCATGTATGGATTATTTTAGAAAAGAGTCAAGCTACAAATTTATTTTTTTTTCAATACAGATTTATGACAAAAAGATTCAAATTGTCCAATATTCAAAAATTTAAATGTATAAAGTAGTAGAACTGACTTTACGGAAATCAAATATTATTTTACTAATTGACAACTGCATCTAATCTTTAATGATAATTATGTTTAGATAATAGAGCCGTATAAAAAGTATGGTGTTAAAATCTTTTATTTATATTCGTTTTATTTGTAGCATTGCATGAAAACATCATTGTCGCAAAAAATTATTTCTTGTTTGTTCCACGATCTCACATATGTTATTTTAAAATTAACTGGGGTATATTCCAAAAAAAGGATGAGCGACAACATCTGTTTTTCTACAACAAATCTAAAATGTCATTTATGCTTATTTTCGTGATTGTTAATGCTAATTTTCCACAAAAATTAGCATCAGGTGGCGTTTATTGGAAAAAGGAAATAAGCGAGAAAACTGTTTTTTTTTTCACAACGAAGGACAATGGTCAGAAAAGTCGAAAGGAAATTGTCCCATACCGATACCGATACCATTATATATTAATCGAAAGCTCTTCTTGAGGAGAATATTTAACAGTTAACAGTTAAGCAACTATCCAATCCTCTCTGCAATAATTGTATGCATCATTATTTATTAATAGAATGATAACAAAAGTAAAATACAAAAACTGAAAATACGATTATTTTATTTTATTGCCTTATCACTTATTTTCGTTAAGTAGTTTGGTTAAGTAGTTAGTATTGAATAATTGTTGTTCTTGGAGTGAAACTTGCGGTTATTTGAAATGAGGATATTATTAAAGGAGTTTCCTTAAGTAGTATTTGTTATATTTAAATTAACTAATTAGATTTAAATTAAATAGAACTATAAATATAGATACCTTACCTTATTTCCTATCAGACAAATTTAATATTTTGTAAGGGTGAAATAATGTCTATAGATGGCAAACGAACAGGCACGATAAAAGTTTATTCTGTTCACTTAAATTTTCCTCCTCTTTATAATAAAACTACACACGACACTTTTTACCGAAATATACATAATAAATTTCAATTATGATGTTCATATTTATATACTTAAAAATATTTAAAATTTATGTAAAATTATTCATGGCAGTGCGTTGGGTCAACAAGAAATTGACATAGAGCGGCTAATCTAGTTCGTTTTTAATTACCTACATCCCATTATTTAGGAATGACCGTGGTTGGTGTTGTAAATTGTTTACAAATCATAAGAATTAAAAAAAGTTTAATTATCTGTATACAGGGTGGGCCACTTAAAAGTTCCACCCCCCCTTATTTTCGTTATTCATTGAGATATCGGAATATTTTTGTTTGTTTGAAAGATTGGAATATATACTTTCTTATAACGGATACAATTATTCTGTGACGTCATTGCTTACTTCCGGTTTTTTTTGGAAATAACAGAAAATCGTAATTTATTTTTATTTTTAAATTGAAACCCACTTTTTTTATTATAAATTTGAATTTCTGGGATATTTTTGTATAATAATCGTGTATTTAAAATTTTCTGGCAGCTGTCAAAATGGCCGCCATATTGGCTAATATTTATTTAAACAAGTTACTATTAATATGTTTATGGAAAAAATATAGGGATGTATCTTTAATCTTTAAATCTTTAATTTCCCTTTGAGACTCATTTACCGTATACCAGTGGCGTATCTAAGCATTTTTATTAATAGCAAACCGTTTAATAATTCCATCCGCTTTTCTCTTCGTTGTTAATTGAGATATCGGAATGAAAACTTTTTTGTTTAAAGCTTATAATAAATACTTTCATATACTGGATCCAATCGGTCTGTGACGTCATGGCTTTCTTCCAATTTTTCTAGATATAACTGAAAATCATAATTTATTTTTTATTTTAAAATCAAAACCCGTTTTTTTATTAAAAATTTAATTTTTTGGAACATTTTTGTATAAGAAGCGTGTATTGAAATAAGCTGCCAAAATGACCGCCATATTGGATATTTTTTATGAAAAAAAAAATGGGTTTGTATGATCTTTATAAAATCATTGTAAGCTTCAAAATTCCTATTGAAACCTACAGTACACCAGTGGCGTAATTAAGCATTTTCATTATTAGTAAACCGTTTTAATAATTCCATCCGCTTTTATCTTCGTTGTTAATTGAGATATTGGAACAAAAACTTTCATTTACAGGATTTAATTGGTCGGTTACATCATGGATTACTTGCAGTTTTTTTGAAATAACAGAAAATAGCAAAATTTTTTTAATTTTTAAATAGAAAACCTCTTTTTTATTGAAAATTTGAGTTTCAGGGACATTTATGAATCAGAACCGTGTATTAAAAATGTTCAGCTGTCAAAATGACCGTCATATTAGAGAATATATTTTTTTAACATGTTGCTGTTAGTAGTTTATGGAAAAAAATATGCGAATTCTAAATATCTTTGTAAGCTTCTTAGATCCCATTTACACCCATTTATAGTATACCGGTGGCGTATCTAAGATTTTTGTTATTTGTTCAGCGTATCTATCATCGAATTGAATAACAAAAAATAGTTTTTTATACATACAGTATGGTTCAAATGAAAGGAATAAATTCATTATAATGGAAGTAGTTGGTTTTCCGAAAAAATGCTCGGACAGGTCAATTTTGTTTACTCAAAGCGCAATTTTTTAAGTAGAATTCAATTTTCCCCCAGTTCCCATTTTTGGGTAGTGACGTCATTGACAATTTTTTTAAATAGTAACCCCAATTTTTTTTTCTTGATGAATCCAACACCAGAAAATGTTTTGTTGAAAGATATGCATCTTTTAACTACTACTCGCATCACACGGAACGGACGGATCGCATTTTTGGTTTCCTGTTGTCTTAATATATTGGGTATCGCATATTAATCCGTGTGCATCCACGGAACTGCGAGGCCATATCGTCAATGGACCCACAAATCCATCCGTTCCGGGCGATGCGAAGCGAATAGTATGCGCCTACCTTAACTATTTTAATCATAACTTTTATAATATTTTTATAGGTTCAAAATAGCAGAAAAAATTATAAGCAAGAAAAAGAAAATAGGGATTCGGATACTATAGTTTACACTGTCGACATGCAAAAAGTAATTATGTTGCCTAGAATGTCCGACGTAAAAGATTCATTCTTTTTATACAGACTTATTCTATTCAACGAAAGTTTTGTTTTTCTAAAACCCAAAGATAAACACTTAATGGTAATCTGGTACGAGGCTATAGCTGCTAGAAATGTGGAAGACGTTTCATGTGCTTTTTTGACTTTCATGAAAAAACACAGAGATGTTAAAAACAATTCTGTGGCTTAATAATTGTACGGAACAGAACAAAAATTGGGTTTCATATAGTACAATATTAAATTATGTTAATTCAGGTTTATGTAGAACTGATGAAATATGTTTAAAATATCTCATCAAAGGGCACACATTTATGGCAGCTAACGGAATCCATGGAAAGATCGAACAACAAATGAGAAAACAGAAAAACGTTTGCGACGTTCAAGATTTAATTGAAGTGTGTTAAATAGCAGCAAAAAGAAACCAGATTTTGAGTTTAACTATAGGAGACTTCATGGTTTCAAAATCTTTAATAAGCAAAGATAATCAAAAGAAAGGAAAGATACTCTTCCATACCTGAAAGATGTAGTAACAGTTAAATTTGAAAGAGGTTTGCATGATTTTGTTTATAAAACCGACTATCAGCAGCCATATACGAGCCCAGACGCATATGAATTGAACCAAAACAAATAATAAACACAATTTTATTTTTCTGAATTAGAATTTATTTTACTATTATAAATTCAACGGATACGATTAAGCTTATTTGATACTATGTGGTTTTGACAATTAATCAATAATATATAAGACTTTTATCAACTACAATAATTATAAAATGAAAAAAAAAAAGGAAAATTAATGTCTGGCGCAAATTAATTGGACCAAATATTTAGTCAGCGTTACCACTGTGTGACGTCACCCTTACGTTTTATAACGGCTTTAATTTTATGTGGCATAGTGCCTACTAATATTTGACAGTAATCTGGTTGAAAGTTATTCCAAATTTCCTGAACTTTAACCTTTAATTCAGGAATTGTGCGAACTGGCGTAGTTCGAAGTGCTTTTTTCATCTGATGCCAAAGAGTCTCAATAGGAGATAGGTCAGAACTGCTTGAAGGCCAGTTTAAAACAGGAATATTCATTACCTGAAACCATGATGTTATGGATTTCGCTGTATGGCAGGCTGCGCCATCTTGTTGAAATATAAATTCTCCATCTGGCAGTTGAATTTCATTAATGGAAGGCACCAATTCTTCTTGTAAAATACTTTTGTACTTTATAGCATTGACAGTGCCATCAATGAAACCCAGCTAGCACAAAAACATCCCATCTACGTTAATAAGCTGCAATTTTAGGCTCTTTAAGCTCGCATGCAATGTACTGTAAATGTAACCCTTATATCCCTGCAACTACCGAATGTCCGCAGCGGCAAGACTTTTATAGCACATCTCACAGAAGTTACAAAGTGAAGTTCGAAAAACATCACACTAGCACTTTTACGGTACTTACCCCGAAAGTTGCTCTGAAACGTTCTATTGATGTTATAATGTGAATTAGATCTACAGCATTATACAGTGTGTCCACGGATGGGCTTAACTATACTTGTGAAAATATTTATTTTAAATTAAAAAAGTAATTCTTCATAATTTCTTGCTTGTTAAATAAATTCGATTCACATTGAGAAATTATGAAAAACAACTTTTTCTTTAATTTAAAATAAATATTTTTACAAGTATAATTAAGTCCATCCGTGGACACACATTGTGTAATGTAATACAGAGAGGCTGAAATTGAGGCTATAGTAAAATCTCAATCGAGACATGAAAATTTCAAATAAAACAAAATATTTATATAAATTTATTATTAAAATGTTCTTGAAATCAAGTACCAATAGCACAAAAGTAGAGGTAGGTGTAGGTGTGTTCTTTTATTCAGTGCTGTATCCAGCGCTTGCAGCAAACCGTTCGTAAATTAAGTGATGGAAAGACGATTGTATGTGTCAATCATTCTTTTTTCCAGCGGTGAATTCACCAATGAACCAAGGCATCCATCGGCTTTTAAAGCCGATGGATATGTGATAGACGAATGGTGAGGATAATCAATCATTTAAGTTAACCTAAAATATAAGAGTTCAAATATAAAATGACTGCAGAATAGATAAATTACATCAATCACTGATGGAACAATTATTGAATAAAAGAACACACCTTATATCACAAACACAAGTACACATGTGGGATAGAAGAAGCTACCTAGAAAGCACTGAACGATTGGACAAAATTAGCTAAATAGTATAATAAGGTACCAATATTGCAAAGGTTCACTAAAACCTTAAATGGTGAACGATGATAAAGCTAGATTGGTGAAAAATAATAAACGAATACAACAATGACTAGGTACATATTATTATATTAGATTACTAGAGGATAGCTAAGTTCACTGATTTCTTACCTAAGACGCAGAGATATATCTTTTTTAAATCAAGCCTTTTAACTTTTTTTGCATAGATATTTATAAAGTGCTATAATGTAACCTAAATATGACAATTTATTAGAAGAGCATAAATTATATTTTTATATAAAAAGATTTTACTTCTCAATACATTGAATAAAAAAGAAATTGATAACTTGTTTACCTATTATAATTAAAGGAAATTATATAGAAATTAAAAAATATGTCTTACTTTGTTGTTTTAAATAAAACAACCAATGTTAGTGTATTGAAATTTGTTTGAATTTTACAAATTTTATGCTTGATTTCCAAAGTAGATATATCGATGGCTCAATCAAAAACTGCCACAAGTCAAAAAACAAAGCAATTACATTTTTGGTTCAATGGATGCAAAATATCATTACGGTTTTACTTTAAATACCACCACAAACAAAAATATCCTTAAAGATAAATCATTTAAAATGTAGCCACAAACTGTGTCTAAAACTGCATCAATTCGAGTTATTTTCTTCAAAAACACCCAAATTTTTTACAACTATGCAACAACTCACTTTTATAATCGTATTCATTTTATTTAACAGCAAAATATCGAAGCTTTTAAATAAAATATAAAGAGTATGTCAAAAACAAAATAATGATAATAGAGACTTACAAAATTTCAAAATGAAATTTCTCGAAATAATAGTATTTTAGTTGTGGCAGTATTTGATTGAGCCATCAATATGTAGATTTTATAAAAAACAACTGGTGTTTTTTAGCAAGATATTCTATTATACTCGAGAGTATCATCTATGATTTCTCTCAACTTTTCTGCTGGGTTTTCACTTGACTGATGGTTGCATTTCCAGGCAATCTAGCTTGTTGAAGAGAATGAACTGCTTGAATTCTGATATACCTGACATATCATGTACCTATAGATTCACTTTTTATAAAACTTTAGGAGTTATATTCTTCTTTACACTTCTGTAGTATTTACTTTTGCTTCTAAAATTCCTAGAATGTCGAAGGAAACCTAAAAAATAATATTTTTAAAATGTATTTTTAGTTCGATAAAGTATAATTACCTTTTATAAGTATTTGGTGTAAAATGTTGCCGGACATTCGGTTAAATGTTTATCTTCTGGTTTACAACGATTGATCTGCAATTTTTTGTTTTTATTGTAGTTTTTTTTTATTTGGTGTCATCGGCATCGATTGCTAAAGATACTTAATGAATGAAATAATAAATTTACATCAGGCATTGTAATCTGAAACAAAGACAATGGTTTAGAAAATAGTTATCTATTTTATAGAGGACCCTTACCAAATCTATTCGAATGTATAAATAATTATTTATAAAATAAATTCTGGATGTCGAAAAATAAACCATTAAAAAAGACAATTGACAAGAAAAACTGACAAGTGACAATTGACATAAAACTAAACGTTCTGAATTCAGATTTGTAATGTTTACGGTAGGTTAACTAGGTAAATAACAAATAGAAGTTTTGCGAGGTTTTGATTTCCCTCAACAACTTCTCATGAACGTTGCATTTACGTTGTACAGTAATGTTATTACGTTCCCTTAATGCAACATCGCCGAAAGGCTTGGCAACGTTATGTGCTAGCTGGGAAAGGAGATGTCCAACTCCTTGTGAGGACATACAGCCCCAGACCATCACAGATGCCGGGAACTTAACCTTTCTTTTGAGGCAATCTTTGTGATATTCTTCTCCTAGCATTCGGATAACTCTGCTTCGTGTATCGCCAACACAGACCTCAAACTTAGCTTCATCACTCCAGATAACTGAATCCCATTGACGTTGAACCCAGTTTCGGTGCTCTTTTACCCATAACAATCGGTTTCTTTTTTGTTTCTCTGTGAGAAGTGGTTTTTCCTTTGCCTAAAGTGAGATGATAAATTTGAATATTTAAGGTAAGATAAGTGTTTCTTGTAAAAACTTACCTTGTAGAATCCATATCCCATTTTTTTCATTCTCCTCAAACAAGTGTCTTTTGAAATTGGTCTACCAATTGCATGGGCCCATTTTACAGCCAATTCTCGAGAAGAAGCTCGGCGATCTTGTTTAATAAGTGTCCGAAGAGCACGATCATCTCTTTCGGTTATCTTTGAAACACGGCCAGTTTTAACTTTTGTTTCAACATTTCCGGTTTTTTAAAATTTGAAATTATATTTCTAACAGTTCCTTGAGGAATTCTTAAATTTTGAGCAATTTTATGTCCAGAAAGTCCTTTCTTATGGGCCGCAACAATAGAATTTCTTAAATCGTCAGATAAACACTTTCCGCGAACCATTTTGACAAGTAACAAAATTGAATCACTCAACAAACGTCATAAATTATTTCTTCAACGCCCACTTGATAATATAATTTCCAGAAAAAATTATACAAGAGATTTTATTGGATAAATAAATATTTATCATTACGATTGGGTGATGGTCCAATTAATTTGCGCCAGACATTGCTTTTCTTTTTTGTTTATTTTATAATAATTGTAGTCGATAAAAATATTATATATTGTTGATTAATTATCAAAACCACATGGTATCAAATAAGCTTAATCGTATCCGTTGAATTTATAATAGTAAAATAAATTCTAATTCAGAAAAATAAAATTGTGTTTATTATTTGTTTTGGTCCAATTCATGTACGTCTGGGCTCGTATAAAATCGTCCAATATTTTAAAACGGAAGGTTGAGTTAGGCACTTTTCCTAAAAAAAAAACTTTACCACGTGGTATTCAATCATCCAAAAAGAAACCAATTCTAAAAGAATTTATTAACTCAAAATTAAATTTATGTT